CCCCAAAACCCCAAAACCCCAAAACCCCAGCAATCTTGATTATTACTCAAGTCAGATAATTGTCAATTTAAATTAATAATCATAATCCTTTAAAAATATATTTGTCTATAAATATCTAAATTCTAGAGTGTATTATCAGGTTACCAATAAATTTCTAAGTTAATTGATTAGATATTACACTGCAGAAATTTTGCTTATTCACCAAGAAGCATTGAGTAAATTTGGATCAATTTCTTTTGTCTAATCTGCTGAAATACTGTTATCTTTCAAATTAATTTTGCTTTTAGAGAAATCATGCTCTCTATAACTATTAAAATCAAACTAACGAAGTTATTTCAATTCATTTATTTACCTGGACTAGATTTTCCACTTAATTAAAATATAGCCCATAATCAGTAGCATTCCAACTACTAAGATTGGAGCAGAAATATAAAACACCAGCATATATGATGATTGCTAATCAGTTTTATAGTCATATTTTGATATTGAAATATCGATGCTGTCTAATCCACTTTGAGTAGAATTTTGAGAAGTATTGCTCTTCTAAGAACTACTAGTATTAACATTGGAAGTTCCATTTGTAGAATAATTATTTAAGTTTTATGCTGAACTATTCGAATCAATGCCTGAAAGATTACTATTCGAAGTGTTAGTACTTGAATTAGAGCTTGTGCTATTCATTGGACTCGAATTGTTAGTACTGGTATTATTATTACTATTTAGCGCATTAGTAGTATTAGCTAATACTGTATTTGTTTAATTAGTGACATTACTAGTGCTAGTGTTCGTATTTATAGTAGTATTTATTTGAGTACCTGAATTATTTGAACCTGTATTATTAGTTGTAGTACTATTAGTATTAGTATTAGTATTAGAAGAAGTATTTGCATTTGAAGAGGAATTTGTAGTCGTAGTAGGATTTGAAGCCGTAGTTGTATTTTGAACATTCCATGAGAAATTGGAGGAATTAGATGATGAATTAGATTAACTTCCATTTGAAGTAGATTGACTTGTTACCAGAACAGTACCATTAGGAGATATTTAAATGTTTGTTGATACAACTGTTGAGGAATTGGTAGAAGTTGATGTTCCTAATTGACTAATTCCACTATTTACATCCCAGGTAAATAACACTCTAAATTAGTCTTGATTTTATTAAGACTCTATAGTAAATATCTTTGAAGTATCTTTATCCTTTAATTATTAGTTCAATTACAGAAAATTCTAACATTTCGTAATAGGGATAAGTGATAAAATTAACAATATGCAGAAGTTTTATAATAGGAATCGTAGCTTTTTCATTTAATTTGCATATATATTGATTAAATTATTTTAAATTATAGAATTAAAGGAAAAAAATTAAAAATTTCAATGGATGAAAAGATAAAATTCAAAGTGTGCTTGATTGGTGACGGTGGAGTTGGTAAATCTTCTATTGTACAGAGATTATTTATGGGCTAAACTTATAATCCCTCTAATAATGAAAGTATATATAACCCAACTGTTGGATCTGATTTCTTCACTAAATCTTATCAAATTGGAGAGGATAGATATATACAGGTAAATAATCTTTTTACTATTATACCATTAATTTCATAACATTCTTAAACTTACAGTTGAATATATGGGATTTGAGCGGCCATCCAGAGTTCTATAAAAGTAGATAAGAATTTTACAAAGATACTTAGGTGTTAATTTATGTCTTTGATCACTCATTTAAGGAAAGTTTTGACAACTTAAATGAATGGTATAGAGAATTTTAGAATAGCTAGGCTGAAACTCCAATTCTCACTTATCTAGTTGTTAATAAAGTAAAATCTCATAATCTAAAATTTAATTAGATTGACAAGCCAAGAGATAAGTATTTGGAGTAATATGAAGTAGATGATTATGCTGAACTTAGGAGGTTTAATAAAGTTTTTTAGACAAGCGTATATCAAAGTAACATTAAAATTTAAAACTAATTTCTCAAACAGATTAAGGACTTGGTGATATTTTGAATACTATGATTTAAGACTTATTTTAGAGTTTAGAATAGTAAGAATGAAATTAAGACTTGCTAAATCACACAAATATTTGTCATCTAGAAACATCAGAATAATAACTTTTATCCAAATTTTTACAATCCAACTCAAATTTTACTTTCGCTAGTTTTATTATTTTTCTCCTAATCAATCACTTTCAATCCGTTTATCTCCTTTTCATCACTTTTTTTATTTAATTATTCCAAGTTTTATGTATCTTGAATTATTAATGAAATATCCTAAGCACTTTATGAGGTTGTTTGATTTTCTGATTGAACAACTTCAACTTTATCCACCTTAGTTAAATTATTGTTAGTTTAAGCTGTAAATGTCTGATCTAAGATCTCTTATGCTTTTTGTCTAATAGGATTAACTAGTTTATTTTAGAATTCTTAATCATCCTCAGTCTTTATTATTTTTCCTTACTCTTATTAGGTAGTAGTATTATGAATGGTAGAATATAGAGGTGGAAGATTATTTAGGTCAACAAATTTTCTATCAGCAAAAGCATTCTCGCTTAGTAATATAACTGAAAAAGCACAGAAGTATATGAACACTGCAATAAATGCTACTCTTAAGTAAAGATTATGTACAAACTTATTTGTTTCTGCTTCTTCCTCATCATTTTTCTTCAGAATTTTGATCTTATCAATCATATTTCGAACTTAAGTCTTGCACAGAGGCTGCATTTCTGGGTCTTTGTATTGGTTGGATTTTTTTGTTGAACTCTAGAGATAATTTAACTTAGGCTCTTTGAGCTTAAGCCAGCTCATTGCAACTTACGCCTTAACGGCCTCTGTAGACTTTATCATTTTTAATTTATTTTTATTATGAGTAAGCTATGGAGAATAAATATATTTTAATACTCATAAATTGCATCAAATTAATTAGAAGCGGGGTTTTGGGGTTTTGGGGTTTTGGGGAGATCGGAAGAGCACACGTCTGA